ATTTGGTCCTTAATTTCCTTGTAGCCAGAACAAAAAAGGAAATAGCTCTCATTATAAAAGTTCCCGTCTACAGATTCCTTATCAGAAATGACTGGTTCCTTGGTTAAGGAAGATAACATTTGTAACAATCTTTAAGCCTCACTGACTTGGTCAAAAACACAGAGCTAGATTGCTGGTTACTTCCTTATTTTTCTGCGCACAGGCACGATTGCACTTTCCTCCACACAGAACAATGGGGAAACTCAAATCTGGGTTATTCATTTCCCCAGAGAAGCCTCAAGAAGGCAATAAAATCACAAAAACTCACTGTTCTTATTAATACTACATTTTCAAAGAAAAAAAACAAAAGTTTTGGAAACAACTAGACATTAATGCATCAGCTCTATAACATTAGGGTGTCAAATTAAGATAGTATTTACTTAACATTTCTCCAAATCTCACCCTGTCCAAGTCCCTGCGCACATCGCCTGACCAGAGGCCTTTCCGGGCCCCCGCCCGAAGCAGCCTCCCCACATTGCTCTCTATTCTTCAAGGCACTATCACCAGGCCCTTTATACACTGCCTTCTCCCCCACTGGAGCCCAGGCTCCACTCAGGAACTCAGCCAGCTGTGCTGTGTCCCCAGGGTCTTAGAATACTGAGTGTCATCTAATGGCACACAAAGAGCTTTCCCATGAAAGAGCAGAACCATTCTAGCTCTAGAGGTTAAAACATTTGGGTCAGTGAAGCATCCTTGCATATATGTAAATACAAAATTCTAGAAATTACTTAAGAATATAACCTTCAACAAACAATGCTTAAGGGTGTAGGGCTGTAACACTAATATTAGTAAGAAATTATACTAATATGCAAACATCACTGAGGAGATAAGGCACAAACGGCCCCTCTACTCTCCTGTGTAACCTCTCCTAACTTCTCTTGGCCTCAGTTTCACCTTAGATAAAATGGGGATAAAAAAAGCACCTACTTCAGTGTCATGAGGATTAAGTAAGAATGTACATAGTGTTTACAAGTTTGAAACTGAGGGAAGGAATTGTGGGAAAACTTCTGTTAAGTATTTCTTCTCACAATTCCAAACTAATAGGGCAAAGGTAACGAGGAAAATGTATTTTTATTTGAAAAATATGTACATTACAGTGTCCTTTTTAAAAGTAACGTTATTTTCAGCACAGGAAAGCAGAGAGACAATCAGAAGTTTGTGGTTATACGTGCTTTTCAAATAAGAAGTGCAGCCCTGGCTGGTGTGGCTCAGCCAGCTGGCATCATCCCATACACTGAAAGGTTGCCAGTTCCATTTCTGGTCAGGTCACACGCCTGGGCTGGGGGCTTGACCACTGGTAGGGGGTGTGCAAGAGGCAGCCAGTGGATGTTTCGCTCTCACATCTATGTTTCTCCCTCTCCCTCCCTCTTGCTCTAAAAATCAATAAAAATTCTTTAAAAAGTAAAAAGTACAGTGTAAAAATGTGCTGGAGGAGACCAAGCAAAAGGGGCCTGAGGAATAGTAAAGCTCAGGCGGAGATAACACAGGATCATCCACACTTGCCATCTCCACAGCTGGACCTCAGCCCGCTGACACCCGGCTCCTTCCTGGGCCTGGATTCCCCTTGTGGGTGGTCCACACAGCATGGCCAACCATTGCCAGTGCACTATTCGGCGCCATGGGCTCCTACTAGCCATTGTTTTTGGCCCCACAGTCACTGGGGTTGTCTTAAGAGACTACATACACAGCTCAGCAGCAGTGTTCAGACTTAGGCCCAAGCAGGCACTGACTCATCCATCTGAATCCAAAAGCTGTGACAAGGCTTCTGAAAGTGGCTGTGCTCCTGTGTCTGTCCTCTGTATAGGGATCAGCTGGACTCAGACATGCTGGTAGATGCACAGGCCAGCAAGTGCCGATGACATGGTAATAGTCGGTGAGGTCAAGTCTGTCTGATTCTGAAGAACTGAGTGGTTCTGGTTCCTGGCACTAATCTAGACCCTTATGTTGACCATATGGGGGTTCTGGATACAGAACATGAGCCCCTTGGCTGTGATATAGTTAGTTGTAAATCCTGAATCTGTTCCTACATCTGTTCTCAGGACAGAGTGGGGATAGCACAGGTTTCAGAGGGTCCTGCTTCAACCTGCTTGTCCAGGATAAGGAATGAGGGAGGAGACATTCTGGAGTCACATACTGCAGCCAGTAAAGCACCAGAACAAGCTGGAGCCCCAAGAAGCACAAGCAGTGGACTCCAGGAATTATTTACTGGGGCTGACGACAACAGTGGCAAAGCCACTTTAGCACCTGTCAGCAACTATTGGGACAGTCATGGCTGTCTGAAAGACTCATGCCACTCATTTGCAACAGCACATTTTAAATTCCAAGCTAAGTCAAGAAGTACTACATGGGGGAGGTAAAAAGAAAACTGAAACATTGAAATAAGTTGTGCTTAAAACCCCTAGAGCAGCATTCACCCGCTGAAGCAGAGAACATTAGACACTTGTGTCGGTGTGTGAGACTGGGGGATGGACAGGATGATTCCTCCCGGTTTCTGAAAACCCACATCTATCTTCATCTGGAGGAAAGCACAGTACGGGACAGCGCTGGCTCAAATGAGGACTCTTGAACACCGGCATAAGCCTGATGCCACAGAGTGAAATGATATCAATTGATTTCAGAATATAAATCGATTTGTATCTTCCATTGCCAAGAATCTGGGTCTCCCGTAGTGAGTGAGCCATCACACAACTATAGGAGTGAGGGGAAATGAAGATTTACACAATACATACTATTTGCTAGTAAATACTACACATGTATTTTCCTCCGACAACCACTTAGTGTTTAAGACAGAGTTTTATCTGGAGCCTAACCATCTGGGCTCCCCCTTTCACAGCTCTAGGACCTCAGGATATGGATGATTTCACTGTGCCTGGGTTCCATCTGAAACAAGGAGCCACCATTCAATGAGGTAGTTACTGGTGTTCTGATAGAGGCTAACCGACCTCAAGCTCTCACCACAGCACGGGGCACACGGCAAGCTCTCAATCAATATAGGTTAGCTGTTTCTGAAAAGCAAGCCCTGTAATTAGGTAACAGTTGTCTTCAACTTACAGAGGCGGCAATTTTGCAAAGACCAGACAACTCGTTCTGAGTCCCAGAAAGCAGCGTAAAGGCCATTCTTTTTCCACCGTGCAATGCTGGCCCTATTTATTCATGCTGTCACTAGCCAAGGCCTGCTACACAATAAGTCGGTCGCATACCTCTGGGCAAGGGGGACTTCCTCAAGGAAGTCGGACTGTGCTAAAAGGAAACCGGAGTGTGCTAATCTTGACATCTCATCTCAACCAAAAAATACGACTGTCTCCCAGGTACACGCTGCTAAAGAACACTGCCGCCAGGCCACAGGAGCAACTTCATAAAAGTGAGCCAGGTGGACCCAGACCTTTTAAAAGGGAGCCCGAAGGCAACTCACACAAGGGGAGGGGAGGGAGGGGACTGAAGGGCGAGAACACCCCCTACAGACCTTCAAAACAAAACGTGCACATGGATGTTGCCCCTCGCAGCTCTCACGACTTGCTTAGTGGAGCCAAGAGCGCCCGAGCCCAGTGAATGAGCCGGCTGGGTCCCCTGCGCACACGGCGACGCTCACCGGCTCCAGGCCTGCGGGGCCTCACCTCCCGGAGGCACCTGACGGCCTGCAGCCCGAAGCAACACGTCAGAGGGCAGACTGAAAGGGGCTCGCTCTCGGGTCCCCTTCTTTCTCCCAGGGGTGGAATTTTCAGAGGCTGTGTCTCATACAAGCCATCAGCCCGGGAAGACAGGACACCTGATGTCCAGGCCCGACACGGGCCAGGCACCCCTGCTGCGGGCGCCGGCCCCGCGGCTGCGCCCGCGTCCTCCTCGGTCGCTCAGTCCCGGCCTGGTTCCCACGCCACCAGCAGGGGCCGGGGAAGGAACGGGGGCTCCCCCGGCCCTCTGCCGGCTCCTCCGCCACCCTCTCAGCAGTTGTAGGGCTCCGGAGAGGCCGCCCTGGCCCCGGGAGCATTCCGGCGGCTCTCTCCTCTGTTCTCCGCCCCCCGCCAAGGCGGCTGCGGGAGGAGGGCGCGCGGCGGCGAGGAGGCGG